ATATGAACTTAATAAATAAAAAGATTACAACTTATTTTATTCACGATTCATAATACTATTACAAATTTATTTGCAAAAATGAGAAGAAGGTGATAAACGATGTTTTTTGCTCTCTCCAAATCTTGTAGTTATAAAGGTATGGAACCCAAATGTTGATTTTTCATTGGCTGGAGGTAGTAGATCTTCTTGGGTCCGCTTCTTTAATTATTGCTCCACTAGTGGTTGTTTCTAGCTATTATTCACATGGTTCAATATTCCCGACGCCCAGACTTGCTGACTCGGATTTTTCGTTCATTTCTCGTGGAAAAAATTCTTCATATTTTTATTCTTGTTCCACTATTTTCTTAGTGTGTATTAAGTCTATTCCAACTGTATATTTTTAAGATGAAAAGATATAGGACATGTATGAGTGGGGTTGTTAGTGGTTATCTTGAAGGCTTTCTGGTCAGGAATCTTCAGTGTATGCATTTTTCACTCACACCCCTCTGAATCACAGACTACATGGACTAATATCTTGTCATTTTTTTTCAACTTCACACTTCTTTTGGATTTAATAGCATGTGAGTGCCCCACTTTCTTAAACTCTTCTCTAGTACCAAAGACCATTCCTAGTGCAAATGTTGGATCATGGATATTGCTAGGATTAAACACAATTTCCCTATTCTCAATTGTTTAATTATTTAAACAATACTCATCAAAATCAAGTGGAGCTTCAACCAAATCTTCTTCCCCACTAACAGACTCTGGTTCAATTTCTAAATCCACATATTTGTCTACATTGTGATCAAAGTCTACATCACCACTCCCACCACCACTTTCTGACCTAAGATCAAAGTCATTGGCCTTGTTTGGTAATCAGCAATTAGCTGCTAGCTAATTGTATTAGTTGTTTTGATCAGCGGATTGTGTTAGCTGTTTTGACCAGCGGATAGTGTTAGAGATTTATAAAAGAATGTTTGGTAAAATTTATTATTTTTAATTAGTTGTTAACATATAAAATTAATTATAAAAATAAAACAAAAATTTCATATTTTTGTCTTCATATAATCTCATAATCCAAAAACTTTTAAATTTTTAATACTATTACACATTTTAAAAAATAGTAATACAACTTGAGTACAATTATGTATTCAAATTATAATAAGCCCCAGTTTGCTTTATGAAATATCACTTTTGTATGGTCGGAGGCCAATCACCACTAATTTCACCCAAAGGAATAATGCAAACAAAAGAGTAATACAACTTGAGTACATTTATGTATTCAAATTATAATAAGCCCCAGTTTGCTTTATGAAATATCATTTTTGTATGGTTGGGGGCCAATCACCACTAATTTCACCCAAAAGAATAATGCAAACAATTCAACCATTCTCAACAAAGTCGGTCATCACGTCATGCAAAAATGCAAAAAGCTAATTACAAACGCTCCTAAGACTAGCTTTTTGTATTTGGCGGTTTGGGAGCAAAAAGGTAATTGAAAATGCTACCTTATCAAACAACATTTTCAGCTGATTGAAGAAGTCAAACAAGCCAAATGTTCAAAAAGCTAATTTTTAGTTCAAAACGTTGTTTTCCAAACGCAGCCATCGTCTATAGTTTCATTACCCTCATCATCCCCATCATTATCACACATCACCCTATCAGATACCTCAGCACCCCCATTAACATTTTTTTCACTACTCTTATTAACATTCTTTTCACAACCCTCATTATCTGTTGTTTCTATCATTTCACTCTCACTTGCTTCACTGCTCTCTGATTCAATCTCATTTTTTTTCTCCAATTCTACCCAACCACCTTCATCATATTTAAAAGTAGGCACAAATTGACACTAATCTATCAAGTCAATGTGAATTTCCATCAGTTTATTAGAAAATTGACATTTAGCCCAACTACACAAAGGTGCATCATCGCCAAGCTCGAGCAAACCTGTCTTGAACAATTCCGAGAACTTGATCCCGTATGGAGCCATGGTCCTTCGCAATTTAGCTCGTTTAGTGACTCACGATCGTTTCCATTCCTACATGCTAAGTAGGATGGCTGAACCCATACTCAACGTTGGAGCAATACCTCCTTCTTAAACAGTCTTCACAGTCAACAGTGAGGGGAGCAACCCGGTCCTATTCGGTTTGCGTGAATACAATACATGTTCATCTAAATGTTATACCCAAGTTGAAATATTACATTCTATTTCCTATACAACCAAATAGCTTGTGAAGACAATCCAATGTATCAATACCCAGTCTTGCTTCTCTATCAAGTCAAATACCATACCAGAATCTCAATATAATACCCAAATGGAAAATGCACAAATTGATATCCACACTAAAGATTGACACTTAAGCGATCTCTACTTTCTATGGAACCAAACCCAAATCAATCAAACAACAACAAACAAATCAAATAACAAAAAAAAAAAAAAAAGATTCAAATGAGCACACCAAAAAGCAATGGTAAAATCTATAAATGTATTTTCAATAAAATTAGGGGTTTTCACCACATTAGTGTTAGAAATTAGGGTTAAGAATAAAATCCTAATTTGTCTTCAAAATTAGAGTTTACAAAAGAACCCTAATTTGTATGCAGAATTGAGTTTGCAAAAGAACCCTAATTTGTATATCCCAAGCAGAAGCTCTTCCTATAGTTTGCCTTTGATCAACAATCTCCATCTCATCTGCCCATGAATTAGTATTGACTAAGGTTTAGGCTGGCCTTTGGAACCGATGTTGACTCCCTCTATACTCAATTCTATGTCGATGGAGGCCTTTGTCGTGATACCCGTAAAAGAAGATTAGGGAAAGGAGCGATGTCACGACTGTCAGAAAATCACTACTTTTGGTAAGGTTAGGCACGACTCTACGGAAGAGAATAGGCTACAGATCAGCCGTTCATCCAAATCTTTTTTCACAAATAACTTCCTCAGGATTATCGGCTTTCATCAATGGGGAAGGACAAGTAGTAATAACAGGCTCTTAAGTAGTGTAAGGACTGGGGTCCGGACGATCTATTACGAGAAGGAAAGAAAGAAGAAATTATGATTGCAAAAGAATTTTATATCTTCAAAATTAGGCTTTGCAAAGAATCCTACTTCATTTTAATGTACGGATTTCAAATTCTAATTTCATTTCAATTGCATGAATTTCAAAATATGAACCCTTTTCATCTCGAATTTAGGGTTTATAAAAAAATGAAGATTCTATTCCACGAATCATGTTTTCCATAAACAAAAAAATTCAATAAAAAATATAACACTGATCGTGTGTGTGTGTGTGTGTGTGTGTGTTGGAGGGGNGGGGGGGGGGGGGGGGGGTCATTCTGCATACGAATCTTCTCTCGGATGAACACCTTTTAAGGAATCATTTGAATTCCTTTTTCTCAGGTTCTGAGATTTCGATATCGTTTGGCTATGGATTTGAGAACAATTTGATATTTTTTGAGTTTTCAAGAGAATAAAATGTTTCTGCCTCTAAATCTAAAATTGATTTAGGTACATGTAACAAATTTGGCCTTTTCATTTTCCCTCTAATCCACGTGTGGACACGTGGATTTTTTTTTTTCGTTTAATTTAAGGCTAACATTTGTCAACCGAGTACATGATGTGCGCTTTCAGCATGGCTACTCATGATGATGGTGATGTTAGCCTTGACGGGCAAGTGGTGGCCAAGAAGGAGACTTTTCGGTATTTAGGATCGATGCTTCAAAAGGATGGCGACATTGATGAAGATGTTAGGCATAGAATTGCAGCCGGTTGGTTGAAATGGCGTCAAGCTTCGGGCATTCTGTGATAAGAGGGTGCCACAAAAGCTAAAAGGTAAATTCTATAGGACGACGATTTGCCCGGCGATGCTGTACGGTGCTGAATGTTGGCCTACAAAAAGGCAACATGTCCAACAACTAAGTGTAGCAGAGATGCGGATGTTGCGTTGGTTTTGCGGGCATACAAGAAGAGATAGAATCCGAAATGAAGATATTCCTGATGGGGTCGGGGTGGCCCCAATTGAGGAGAAATTGGTTCAACATCGGCTGAGGTGGTTCGGACATGTCCAACGGAGGCCTCCTGATGCACCGGTGCGCAGGGGAGTTCTACAGCGGGCCGATGTTGTTAAGAGAGGTAGAGGTCGGCCTAAACTCACTTGGGAAGAGTCGGTTCAGAGAGACCTTAAAGATTGGAATATCTCTAAGGATTTAGCGGTGAATAGGAGCGCTTGGAGACTAGCGATCAACGTGCCGGAACCGTGACTCTTGCTCCTTTCTCTTTTGCTCCAATCTTTTTTTTTTTTTTTACTACTATTTCTATTGGGTTTCATCTCTAGCCTACCCCAACTTGTTTGGGACTAAAAGGCTTTGTTGTTGTTGTTGTTGGTGCCACTCTGGCTCCACGTAGACTTAAAGGAGCCGTTAAATCCTATCACGTGCATGTCATGTGCGTGTCACCTGTGTGTCACGTGTGTGTATTCGCTCATTTAATGAATTTTCTGCGAGTCGGGGATGCTTTTGTAACCTCTGTTCAAAATATAGAGGACTAAATTCAAATCGTCTATTCGTAGAGGACTAAAATGTTCAGAGGAGCAAACATGACGAATAATGCAATTTTCTGTACTTTTTACTGTGTGCATTTTTCAACTAAGAAATCAATTAATATCAAGACAAACAACGTACGCAAACAATTCAGTGAGTTCTATTATGTAGTTTGTATCTTGAGCTATAGCAATCGTTTGTTTGCAGGTCTTCATTCAATTAATCACGGTGAAAACCATAAGTATTATTCAACAGGGTAACAATGTATAAAGGAAGTAACTAAAGTCATATTAGGAGCAAATTGTGTTATTTTTTATTAGGAAATAGACACTAAAATGTCTAGTATTTGTCGACTAAATAAATTTGTGTGTTAAAAGCTGAGGCATTTTGCTTGCCACAATCACAAACAGGAGACGGTACTAAAAGCTACAGCTGATTCTCATTGTTTGTCCAAAAGCTGACTGACCATATGAAGTAGAGAATCATTCTACAAGCGATATACAGAGGGCAACAGCGATACCCGAAGCCAACGAGATTAATTGCATAGCTGTATTTCTGATACTAGAAACTCCATTGCTCGTCTCACCCAACACCCCAAGTGCAATGTAGATAAACCCACCAGCAGTAAAGCCCTGCCAAAAGCAGAAAATTGCAACAGAAGAAGAAACTCATTGTTCATTTTGAGTTATCTCATAGCTGATAAAAAACTTGAAAAAGAAAGTTAGATTGTTATGGATCACCTCAATCAAAGACGACTGCCCGGGATCTTTTCCCCACATTAAAGCCTGAAGAGTACTCACCCAAATAAGTATCGACTCCACAATAATGATACAAGTAAAAACAATAATGTATTGGCCATAACAAGGTACTAACCAGTGCCGTCCCAGCTAATGCTACAAGTGCTGATAGAAAGTTAAAGAAAAGGGCTTTGGAGACACTGAAACCAGATCTCACCAAAATTCCAAAATCACCAATCTGCAAAAAGGCTTGACAAGAATATATTTAACTTCCAAAATTTTACAGAAAGAAACTACAAGTAAAACAGCATCATAAGAGTTGTCTTGGACTTCAAATTTCCAAAGAATTGCAATGATAAGCCACATTGCGTTACACTATTTTTAAAGAGAAACACCATAAACATCACTTAGAAGTACACTTCTCATTTGCAAATTTTGTCCATAAAAGCAATTCTATAGCACGCAAGGCACAGCTGTTGCATTATCATGCAACTTCCATCAGTTTATTCTCGAAAATGCAGTCACGCAACCATTTTATAATTATGTAGCATGGACACCACTGCACCAACAGTGCATAAGTCGTGGAAGTTACCCACCACATAAATCAGATAAGCAGTTAAAAATCAAAGATTCTGACAAACATAAACTGTATAATCAACTTCTCGTTTTGCAGCCCATTTGTAGATCCATCGTTTATAACCAGCCAAAAGTTAATAATATAATCTATCATCAGAGAGAGCACTTCTTGCTCTACTGTCCCTGAAACTAAAGAAGCGTGAAATTTGCTGTACACTAATGATAGGGTAATTTTATAAAATACTACCACGGCAGAAAATCACACCTCTTGAGGAAGCTCGTGAGCAAGTAGAAACAGAGTCCTCGACCAACCACCAACTGAACCATAAAGGAGGAAAGCACTTCCCAATGCCATCCCATCAGTAAAATTATGCTGTGACAGTTCAAAATTGAGCACATACATTATCAGTAATGGTCAGATCAGCCCAATCATTTATTTATTTTTTTTTAATAAAAAAAAAGGACTTGAACAAAACAATTGGCGTAGATTTCTGCATAACCGTGTATGAAAGACCACATCAGAATAAGGAAATCCAATACAGAAATGACCTACCACTCCATCCGAGAATAGGTTGAGATAACCAAACACCAAACTTGAACGGGACTTGCCAGATTCTTCAGTATGAATAGACGCAATGTTACTATTGGAGATGCTTTCAGCACATGAAATGGTTCCGTTTTTAGAAACATTACTGCCAGTAGTTCTCTGCAGTTAATAGGATGTATAGATAAGTTCACGCAGAACCAAAAAGCCTTTTCAGTATTCGGAAAAATGTATACCTAAAGCTGCAGGTTAATGATATAAGCAAATATCTTTTAAATATTCAATCTCCACAACTGCTGGCGCTGAGATTGATCAAAATTTATATATACTTGTATCTACCTTCCTCAATGAATCTTTTTCACTTGTTTTATCAATGGAGGAAGTCTCAGCAGGTCCATCCAATTCTTTCTCTTCATATTTCTTATCTGATGAAAAACATTCTTTCTTCTCTTCATGCGATACTATTTGATTATTTTCACATGCATGATCTTCTTCACTTGATTTATTGGTGTGTTTATGATGGTGGTGGTGGTGTCCAAGGCCCCAAGCACTTTCTCCTCCAGAAAACTCCTCCACATATCTCACAAGTTTCTCTACAATGAGAAACACTACAATTCCAGCTGCAACAAAAAGCATCATAAACAGGAAAAATGAAAAGTCAGACTTCCTAAAGATTGATGAACAACAGAGGCAAGGATAGTAACGGAGGGAAAACAAAACACATTTAACCCCGAGCGAAACAAAGGAGCAAAACTATATTACATTGTATTAAGCTAAGAAAAACAGGAAGAAAAAACAATCCAGAAAATTATTTTACATTGTTTTACTCACCCAAGATTGACAAACCAATAGAAAGATCTTTCAAGGAATGTGAATGTGAGGGTCCAAAATTAGCATGCTGGTGATTGTGATGATCATGATGATCATGTGAATGGGAGTGCTCGCCACCTGAAAACATGAAACAAAAACACAAAAATCAAATATGATAACTGAAACATGAATATAACCGTATTTAAAAAAAAAAAAAAAAAAAAAAAAAAAAAAAAAAAAAAACAAACAAACAAAAGAAAAAAGATACACGCTTAGGACAGCATAACTCATACTGCTATCTTTCCTGATATTTGTCCTATTGTGCTACATTACAGAATTCGATAATCAATAACAGTAATATGGTTTTCTGCTCTGTTTGTAAAACGAGATTTACACTTAAAATAAAAACAAGGGAGTTGGAGGGGAAAAAAAAACATAGCAAATACAAAATCAACATTACTAACCAACATAACCTTATTTAAAATCATCACATGAACCTGAGTTATACATGAAACAACCATTTGGACTAAAGTTTGTATACTAACCACCAAAACAACAAATTACTTTAGTTCCAAAGTCCTCCCCCATTACACCTTCCAATGACTCCAACACATTAAATCAAACACTTTATGGTTATATAATAGAAGCCCATAATTTTATTATCCACCTGACTGCTGTTTGGATTATACTTTGCACCTCCCACATTAGGGCACAAGAGGAGTAGCACAGTTCTTTAATATCAATAGTACTATTTGCACTGCATATACTCAATACGTGTACAGAAAGATATATACATTGATAATAGCTTATCAAATCAATTTACTGCAACAATTACGAAATTTCCCTTGCAATAATCAAGTGACCAAGTCACCAATCAGACCTCTCCAATAAAGCAAGAACAACATTCTTAAACCTACATACCATTCAGAATTTCACACTTTCATTTATCCATATATTGCATACAAAGCATACAGACACCCTAATATCAGCCTCATCTTTTTTGTGCTCCATAACCAATTATCACATGTCTGTATACAACTCCAGCTTCATTCCTTTGTTACCTAATTGGTCAATTTCTCTGTAAAGCACCTTCTTACCATTTTCCCTTTTGATTATGCCACATAATATCAAGTTTCATGGATGTCTGGGCAATGTGAAGTAAGCTATATGCCCTATTTCTGTTCAAGCAAATGATACGCCCCCATAACTGTTTCAACAAAATGATTTGCATTTGACTGTGTGGTTCAGGTCTTACCAAATGAAGAGCTGGAGTCCATAATTTGACTAAATAATAAGGGCTCTTTCATAGGGAAACCAAAAAGACATTCAAACTTGTGGATATAAAGGTAACTTATAGTACAATACATGGAATTTCGTCGTGTACAAAAGGAAGCGAGCATAATTATAAGCACAATGAGAGTATCAAATACTAAAACCTTTCTTTTTAAAGTATATTCATACCAAAAGCATGTGGCAACTGATGAAGAAAAGCATCACCCAGCATGGCTCCAGCCTGCAATAAAAACAATCTTATAAAATCAAGATGGAGTTTGGGTAATTATATACTCAGACAGCGCTAAAGTAATCCCCCTAGTGAAATGACGTAATGGTGAAGAGAGATTAAGCACTTCAAAAAAGAAAAGAAAAAAGCCACTTTATACACTGCCAAACCACCAGTCCAAGCCAAAACAAAAGGAAGAGAAACCCAGAGACAGAGAGATAGCGAGCAAACTCATATCAGAAATCGTCCCGCCTCATTTCCCCACTTAACAAGATCCTCTATTTACCCATGAGTTTAATAATTTGGAGTTTTCTCAGGTCAAAAACGGGATCTTAAAATGAGAATCTGCTTAGAAATTTTCAAAGAGAAAATGAAGATGCACTTTGGATGCGATAAAAGTAATCTGATATTATTAAACAAAAATAAACAACCTACAATGATAAGAACTAACAAAAATTCTAGTAACATAAGAATGAATGAGGAGGAAATACGGAAATCCAACCCCAAATAGAGCTAATGAATCAACAATTGCCTTTGATGGCTTCCCCTGTACTGCAGGAACATAAAACGTAAAACACCCATCAGTCAGCTATAATTAAATAAGCACAAGTTTTCATCTTATCAGGAACAAGAAAAGCTGATATTGAAATTTTAGACTACTTACTAAATATTAGAGGCAACAAAATCAGGCAAATAAGGGAAGCAAAGCTAACCAATAGCGAGCAAGCCATGGCATGGATCCACAGGCCTGTCAAACAGTAAGTAGGAACGTCAGAGTTTGCAATAGATTGCTTATGCAATAATCTAATCACCAGAAAGATTCAAACGTGGCTATCCAGCAGAACCAACAAACTTATGTACAATATGATTTCGAAAAGATATCAGCTCACTTAGCATTAACATTACACATAATGTAACAAGAAAAAGTTTGATCAAAACTCTAGAATTTGCAGTTCATTGATTGACGGTAACACTATACAGGACCGAGAGATTGTTTCTTAAGCACAAAACCTACAAAAACACAAAAGTGTTGTTTCAAAAAAGTACGGTTATCCTGAAATCAAATTCGCCCAAAGCAGATCCAACTCAACAGAAAATGCAATGCTAGAAAATGCAATGCTGTAGCAAATATTAGAGAAACTAGCATGAGGGCGCGCAGACACACACAATAAAAATAAACAGGTAAAACCAAACAAGCAACCAAATAAAAGAGGAATAGAATCCAATTACCAAAGAGAAGAAATTATATACCAAGCCCAGAAAGGTCCACATCATGCTTATGCCCATTATGTCCATGCCCAAAGTCGTGGACATGATTATCATCCTGGGCCCACATCATCTTCAGATCTTCCTCTTCAGCAATTTCCTCAGGAAGAAGGGATCGCTGCCGTTCATTTTTCTTGATCGATCCTAAATCCTCATCGTGCACATCATGATGATGGTGGTTATGATGATGGCCGTCGTGTCCATGGCTACACTGGTTACCGGCGGCCGCACAGAATAGAAACCCCACAATCACCAAGACGCCGAATAAATGCGAACAGATCTGCGAGTGCTTAACTGAAAAAGCCCCCATAAGGATACTGGAGAAAAATATAAATTTGGAAATTGAGCAAGATTTAAGAGGGGTTTGGGATTATTAAGATGGTGAGTTTCTGTTGCAGGTGCCCTACTGCGATGAAGCAGACGGCGCAGAGAAATAGGATAATTATGGCAACGATTATCCCGAATGTCACTACATCCATTTTCAGGCTTATATGTTTCTTATATTCGTCATTGCGCTAAAGTCGGAAATTTTCTGATCAAATTCAAAATTCATACATGGAAACCATCAGTCGATGCCAGCCATATGCGTGGCACTCCAGCCAATAAATTATGGACAAGTATCCATTTACTTTACTAGATACTACCTTTGCTAGGCAAAACGGGTAATATTTTTTTATTTATTTTATCAATTATACTTTGACATTGACCTTAGAGCATCTTTAACCACCTAAGGTTAATAAACCTTCTTTTTACATTCCCAACTAGTATTTCACATGTGCATTTATATAGATATATAAATAAATTATTGTAAGTTATTCGTATGCGTATAATGATTAATGATTTTTGCATATTATAATTAAAGGAACTGAAATATTTATTTTTTTATAAATTTTGTTTATCATATTGGGTGTAATGATATTTTGGTATGTATCTTTTTTGTGAATTATTTATTATTTAGTTAGGAATTTCTAATACGTTTTTTATTTTCCAAAAGAAGTTAATTTAAATATAACCACAACAATAACATCTACACGTTAAATAACCAACACAAAATATGGTTATATGGTCAGCTATAAGTAAATAAAAAATTTAAAATGATTTTTATAATTTTGAAGTGATTAGTGTGTTGATTATCTAATAATTAAATGAGAGGTTAAATAATTAAAAAGTAACGGTTTTTGGAGGGAAAAAATTATATTGCCACATAGGTATAATTTAATAGGTTTTATTAAATGCTCATGAGCCAGCAATTATATATATATATAGATACTCCACATCATTCAAACCTCATTCTTACTCCTAATATCACAAACCTCCAATAACCATAAACCTCACAAACCTTCTTTTAATGGGCCCTACATGTTTCCACTTACTACTTTATTTTATACATCAATTTAATTCATATTTACTAAAAAATTTACTCATTATTTTTTACAATGACATATTTATTATATAGTATATCATAATAATATTTATAATTATTTTTGGAAATATTTTTTACGTACAATTATGATATAGGATATTATACTGGACTCGGTTTAATGGATAAAGCGGATACACATTGGAAGATAAGCCAACTAAGACATCTAAGCCCAACTTGGGCCCAAAAGGTACACTCCCCCTATAAAAAGGGGTCAAGGTACCTCATTCTCTCATCTTCTCCTCATTACATTACTACACTTTCTCTCTCTTGATCTGAGCACTGATTTAAGCATCGGAGGCCCGACGTCGGGGCCACCCCCGGCGTTGGGTTCTGCAGGTACGGAGACCGGTTCGAGTTGAAGGAGCCCGGGGTGAAACTTATTCACTTCATTGGCGCCGTCTGTGGGGACCCGTAAAAAAGTCAAGCGGAGTCCCGACTGAAAAAATTGGAAAATCTCCTTCTTCTCCACCGGCCGCCGCCACCGCCGGCCGCCACCTCCGCCGCCGGCCGCTGGAAAACGTGCTCTGATCGGAAAATGGTTGGCATCATCGGATAGATCTCGTCAAGGTAAAGCTACCCTTAAAATTTCATGCAAAAATTCATTCGGGAAGTCCTTCAATTTCGAGGTCAAAGGTCCCAGATCTAAAGAAAAATTGGTCAAAATTGAGCATTCAAATGCGT